TTTCATTTTCACTTCTACTTCGTACTTTTGTGTATCTAGGCCCACATTGTTAAAGGGGTGTGTTGACATTCACAAAAAGAGGGTGCTCCTCCCGGCCCACTCTCCCTACCTTTTTTCAGACTTTCCACATCTAACGCTGACTCCTGTGGTTAAAGACAAAGTACTCTTGCTACAATGGTACTGACTACTCATGCAAATGCAAGAACTTGGCATTACTTAATTGTCATTGGTCACTCATCATCCGAGCTCAACTTAGTCATATCCCCATACATTCAACTGCACATTTTCTTATATCTTCCTATTTCATCTCTCCACAACTCTCCCCTGTCTTCTTAAAATTAAGAATTATACGTGTCATAAAAGCAACACTCATTTAACATTTCCTATTGTCCCTTTTTATCATCATACTAAAAATAATTATTATTCTCATTTAAATAATTAGACTAGAGGGTGGAGCTACATTGGCATGGCGCATGGCTGCCATGGCATCAAAGGTTAATTGCTCTTCGTCCTTACCACTGATCTTCCTTCTTTGCCCAAAATTTTGCGTCTAGTCACTAAGGAAAATTTCCTGCGCAGTTATTTAACATCAAGTAATAAAATATAATATTTTAACATCTTGGGCCTCTTCTGTAGGAGGCCGGGGCACTTCAATATTAATAACATTAGGTTCGGTACCACCTTTATCACTCTGCTCATATGTTCTTCGTGTGAAAGGCAAACATGCTGCTTTCATGATGTGGTTCTGTTGAACGCACAGTAGGACTTGGTATTATTTGCCGCTACACAGTTATTTAACATCAAGTAATATAGAAATTTTAGTTTTTAATGACACATTACATTTTTTAGGCCTAGGGCCATCTTGTGGGAGGGGTATTTCAAAGTTAATAACATGAGGGTCATAACCTTCCCAGGAGCCTTCCCCACTCTCTCTATATCTCTTTCTCAGTTCCTTTGCTCTTGCTAAGCGTTCCTCCCGTGAAAGAGAAGACCGAGGAGAAGACATGTGCTGCTTTGACGATCTTTGAGAAGGAACTGGTGTTTCCTGATTGTTTCCGACAGGTACTTCAATTGTACATTGAGTGAAAAAATCTACTTCTTCCTTTGTAATCGTGTCTAACTCATTACCTGTACTCATTACCTGTATACTATCACATTTTCATGCTTTCTTAACATCACATTATAATTTTATTGTAGCACAAAATTTTCATTATCACACTTGTTCATAATAATACAATAACTTCTTAACTTTCTTGTTTCTCTTCTTTTAGGTCTCCTGTTATGAATACTGACAATATTTACAACTCCTTGTCAAATTATATTTTTCATTTTTAACAATTATTCTTTATTTTAAATTGTTTTACACTACCTTGCTTGCACTTTTCAGGAGTATCTATAATAATTGATAATAAAAATAGTACCAAACAACTGCTTAAAAGTTTATGTTGAACAAAAACAGCTTTGTGGCAAGTGGCAAGTTAATTTTAAAAATAATGGAAACTAGAACAAAAAAATTTAAAAAATTATTTAGTG